TTTTGGTAGCCAAAAATTTATTTTCAACGACGAAATAAATTTTTTAGTCGCTGTAGAGTTAGTTTTGGCTACTAAATTATTTAGTTCCCGAATGAAAAAAAAATTATATTTTATCTTTGGTCGCCAAACATTCATTTTCAACAACAAATTTTTTTTAATCATTGTAGAGTTAGTTTTGGCTACTAAAATTATTTAGTCGCCGAATAAAAAACAAAAATTTACATTTTATCTTTGGCAACCAAACTTTTGGTCACCAAAAATTTATTTTCAATGACAAAATTTTTTTTTGTTGTCTCTGTAGAATTAGTTTTGGCTACCAGAATTATTTAGTTGCCGAATGAGAAACAAAAATTTACTTTTTATCTTTGGTCGCCAAAAATTTATTTTCAGCGACTAAACGCTGTATAGTTATTTTTTGCTACTAAAATTATTTAGTCGCTAAATGAAAAATAAAAATTTACTTTTCAATCTTTGGCGACCAAAAGTTTGGTACCCACAAATTTATTTTCATTAACAAATAAATATTTTAGTCGCTGTATAGTTAATTTTGGCTACTAAAATTATTTAGTCGTCAAATAAAACATAAAAATTTACTTTTTACCTTTGGCAACCAAAAATTTGGTCACCAAATATTTTTTTCCAGCGACTAAATAGTTCTGGTCGCCAAAAGAACTAAAATATTTGACATTTCAAATTTAGCGCCCTGTTTAATATTGGTGCCCGTTTCAGTTTACACCTCCTTTTGTTCTCTCTCTCATACACAGAGTCTGTGACCACCTAATCTCACCTCATCGCAGACCAGCGTCGCACGCCACTGCTACCGCCACCGTCTCAAATCACCATCACCATACCTCACCCAATTTTCAATATGTTCCATCTTTAACTGAAATGAAGTTTCTTGTATCTTTAATTGAAAATGAAGTTTTTTCTATCTTTAATTGGTTACTTCTTTAGAAGTTTCAAACTCACATAAATAAACCCACAAACTCCGATTTCAAGTAACACGAACTTTCAATTGTGCTACTAGTGGCAATAATTTCCAAACCACAAAACTGAAATTTGCAATTTTGAAGTCAATATTATTGTTCCAACTTATGAGGCATCATGAAAGAGACCTAATAAAATATCTTGTCCAGATCTGAATATGATGCCAAGTACACTAGTCTTCATGAGTCAAGTATGTTGAGTTGCGTATGTCTCATTATTTTATAGTGGCTGAAGTAGTTAAAATTTCCATTTTTGTTTTTTTTTTATATGATGAATGCTAGTGAAATTGGTTGCTGATCACACCAAAAAAAAAAAAAAAATGTTAATGAAATTGGAGAGAGAAGAGGAAAAAGTCCCGATACTCTATATGAATTTTCATTTGTTATGTGTGTGTACGTGGTGCTACCATTAACCCAAGAGACAAGCACTGTATTTTCCTACCAAACCCTGGTCCTTAGAATCACACAAAAGAGGATGTCTTACCACTGTGGGAGGATGACTCTGTATTTGTTAAACAAAACAGCTCTTCAAAGGACAATGAAATTGTGGCTCATTTGTGATTCAACGAAACTTTTTTGTCTCCTTATATGGTCCTTTTAGTTTTCAGTCAATTTGAAGGGAAAGTTTACATTGTATAAGGTTTTGATGGGTTTGAGATTTCTAAGAAGCACGTGAACATACTCATTCGCTACATCTCTCTATTTGACTAACCTAGCAAGGATCACCCTCTACCAGGACTTGGCTGTCAAGATTCTGCCTGTATCTTTATTGTTATTTTACTAATTACTTCTGTTTTGTCAAGATTATGTGCATAATTATCTGTATTTATTGGTGACTCTTTGCTTTCTCACTTGAGATTTGTCATTTTCCTTATTAGCCACTACAGAACTTAGGAAATTTCACCTTATTAATAATCAATTTTTGCTCATCTTGTGTTTCATTGGGCAGGTACTTGATAGCCTCACACACAACTGACTACCAACACCCTATGCTATTCTTCAACACACTGGCAGTTTTTGTGTTGGTGGTTGCCAAGTTCCCACACCCCCCCAAGGTCCGTATTTTTGGAATCAATGCAGATCAGTGAGTCAAGGTCCGCTCAAACAATGCAAATTACATTTAAAACTCTAGTTACAATGTTTTGATCACTACGGCGTTTTCCGTGTAATGAGATTATCCCTGTACAGATGTTGATACTATAAAGGGTGTATTATTTTTCTTCCTATTAAGCAATTTTCACTTGGTAACATAATATCTTCGTAGAAACTGAATTTTGTGTGAAATTGCTCAAATATACAAAGTCTTTGTCACTTAACTTTGAAAAAAAACTAAATTACGCTGTTATTGCTTTCCATATAATTGATATATGAATAGTGTTCATCGGATTTGGGGCTAAAAAGGCACAACTTTGGAGCTTAGCCTATTTGCTTTGGGGTTTTTTTTTAATGTTGTCTTTTAATGCAGTACTTGTATGGTCAGTGATTATTGGTTCCTTTCTAAGGCAAGGACAATAAACCATATTGGGGGCTGCTTTGAATTTTCGACCGCAAAATGCCTTTTTCGGCCAAGTTTATGGCGTTTTTCATGCCAAGTCCCAACCTACGCCTGTTAATTACATCCCGTATGTCCCCACAGGTCCTATTTCACATGAGGAAGCTATTCGTGCCATCCATAGAGTGATTCGGGGTCTGCTTTGAATTTTCAGCCCTGAAATGCCTTTATCGGCTAAGTTTATGGCATTTTTCACTCCATTTCCCCACCTACGTGTGCTAAATACATCCCATCTATCCCCACAAGTCCTATTTGACACGAGAAAGCTACTCATTCCATCTATAGAGTGGTTTGGGGGCGGCTTTCAATTTTTGGCCCCGAAAGGCATTTTTCGGCTAAGTTTATGGCATTTCTCACGCCAACTCCCAACCTACGCATGCTAATTACATCCTGTCTATCCCCATAGGTCCTATTTGACACAGGAAGCTACCTGTGCCATCCATAGAGTGGTTCGGGGGGCTACTTTCAATTTTCGGCCCCGAAAGGCCTTTTTCGGCTAAGTTTATGGCATTTTTCACGCCAACTCCCAACCTACGCGTGCTAAATACATCCCGTCTATCCCCACAAATCCTATTTGACATGAGGAAGCTACCCGTGCCATACATAGAGTGGTTCGGGGGCTGTTTTCAATTTTCGTCTGTGAAAGGCCTTTTTTCGGCTAAGTTTGTGGCGTTTTTCATGCCAACTCCCTACCTACGCATGCTAATTAGACCCTGTCTATCCCCATAGGTCCTATTTGGCATGAGGAAGCTACCCATGCCATCCATACAGTGGTTCGGGCGCTGCTTCAAATTTTTGGCCCCAAAAGGCCTTTTTTCAATAAGTTTATGGCGTTTTTCACGCCAACTCCCAACCTACACATGCTAAATATATCCCATCTATTCCCACAGGTCCTATTTAACACGAGAAAGCTACCCGTTCTATCCATATAGTGGTTCGGGGGGCTATTTTCAATTTTCGGCCCCGAAAGGCCTTTTTCGGCTAAGTTTATGGCGTTTTTCACGCCAACTCCCAACCTACACGTACTAAATACATCCCGTCTATCCCCACAGGTCCTATTTGACACGAGGATGCTACCCGTGCCATCCATATAGTGGTTCGAGGGCTGGTTTCAATTTTCGGCTGCGAAAGGCCTTTTTTCGGCTAAGTTTGTGACGTTTTTCATGCCAACTTCCTACCTACGCATGCTAATTAGACCCTGTCTGTCCCCATAGGTCCTACTTGACATGAGAAAGCTACCCATGCCATCCATACAGTGGTTCAGGCGCTGCTTCGAATTTTTGGCCCCGAAAGGCCTTTTTCGAATAAGTTTATGGCGTTTTTCACGCCAACTCCCAACCTACATGTGCTAAATACATCCCATCAACTCCCGCAGGTCCTATTTGACACAAGAAAGCTACCCGTTCTATCCATACAGTGGTTCGAGGGCTGCTTTTAATTTTCGGCCCCAAAAGGCCTTTTTCGGCTAAGTTTATGGCGTTTTTCACACCAACTCCCAACCTACATGTGCTAAATACATCCCGTCTATCCCCACAGGTCCTATTTGACACGAGGAAGCTACTCGTGCCATCCATAGAGTGGTTTGGGGGCTGGTTTCAATTTTTGGCCGCGAAAGGCCTTTTTTCGGTTAAGTATGTGGCGTTTTTCATGCCAACTCCCTACCTACGCATGCTAATTAGACCCCGTTTGTCCCCCAGGTCCTATTTGACATAAGAAAGCTACCCGTGCCATCTGTATAGTGGTTCGGGGCCTGCTTCAAATTTTCACCCCAAAAGGTAAAGTTTATGGCGTTTTTCACGCCAACTCCTAACCTATTGTGCAGTTTATTAGGAAAAGGGATTTTTGTTAGCCATTAAGAATTCAGGCATCTCATAATTTAGCCAGCAAATCATGTTGCTACAAATTCATTCCAATTTCACTTGGTTTATTCAAATATTCTAAAATCTCAATTGACATTCAAGTGGATGGGGCTCCTAATTTAGTAACTACCATCATATTCATAAGGTCGTCCTACTCAATCTTGGGAAAGTTAATATTTCATTGAAATCATGTGGTTACCTTATGGAAATTATAATGAAGTCATTTGCATAATGTATCGAAACACCAGGTCCTCTGCTACTAAGTCTACTCACATTATGCCTCAAAACCTATTTGAAGCACAAAAAAACAAACAAACAAAACAAAAAAAATTAGCACGAACCCCATAATCAACGTTCTAATAGGTTTGCATAGGAACTTTAGAAAAAAATTCTACGTTCATCATACACAATAATGTCAATATGATCCATTTTTTTGTTTAACTTTCAGTAGCTTATCAATAAAATTCTTCTTACCAAATAGTAGGATGATCATCTGAACCCTGCAAGAGGGTTGTGAGCTGTGACACCACGTCGTTCAGATGTTTGAGTTGTACATGTTGTGCCTCTCGTGCTCTTTTTTCTTCTTCGACTAAGTTTACAAAGTTAGCCGTAGAACTTTATCAATTGGCCTTGGTAGTCCCCCTCCACTACCAATCCACTATTTTGACATTTACGATGGTTATCACGGTCGATACTATGGAATCGAACACCATTAGAAATGCATCCCGAATATGTGTTCACTAAAGCATTAGGACCATTGGCTAATGACAACATCTCATCGGTTGCTTCGGGTGACTTTTGATTTCGCAATTGGTTCATCTACACAACAAAGAATGTCATGTTAATTCCAACTGAGAATAATTTAACGTTATCTGCAAACCATACACTATTTTTTCTTAGCTTTTGCATTGTCGCATTGCAATGTTGCATGAACATCCATGTTTTTGTTGCAACAAGAGCTTGTGTTCCCTAGTTAATACAATGTAATTCATAAGTAATTGGAATAATGAAGACTTTAAAAAATAAAAAAAGCGTAGAAAATGTTGGTGTATATTTTGTGAGGAATCGTACTCTAGATATTCGTCCACTTCCAAGCTATTGTGTAGGACAAACCAATGAGCCAATTCGCGGTCAGTTACGGACATATCAATTGCCCTTGGGAGTTAACCAAAAGGACGAACATTTTGAGTGAAAATCGCCAACCCCGGGTCATTGTCACCCCCATCATAGTTCCTTTCTTCCCGGTTAAACACCGTTTCAACTCCATGCAAATACAATGAAACTCTTTCGATATGTAGCCCTCCGCAATGGAACCTTCTGGCCGAGCTTTATTGCCCACAAATCCTTTCAGAAGTCCGAGCATCCTAGATGTAAACATCAGCCTGTTCGTTAGTATGGCCATATTGAACTATATTTATATGAAAAAAGTTCGGACTCATAATTATACCTCTCAATAGGATACATCCATCGATATTGCATAGGCCCTCCAAGCATAGCCTCGTAAAGCAAATGAATTGCCAAGTGGACCATGACATTAAAAAAAGCAGGAGGAAAAATCTTCTCAAGCTTACAAAGTATAAGTACGATTTGTTCTTGTAGTTTTTCCAAATTAGTCATCCTCAATGTCTTTGAGCACAACTGTTTGAAAAAACTTCCCAACTCAAACAATGTGGTCCCAATCTCAGTAGGAAGGTATCCTCGCATCCCAATTGGAAGAAGTCGTTGTAGAAGGACATGGCCGTTATGACTCTTGAGGCCAACTAACTTACCACCATTTGCGGTGACACAATTGGATATATTTGCCGCATAGCCATCAGGATACTTAATTGATTTCAAGAAATCAGCAAACCCTTGTCTCTCTATCTGTCTCTCTGTCGGGGACAATGTGTACAATGCTGGAGGCTTCTCCAAAGAGCTATTTGCATGCCATGTCAAGTGTAACTCCTTTCGTATTCGCATATCCTCCAGATCCAAACGTGCTTTGTCTGTGTCCTTGTTCTTGCCATCTATGCTCAATAGTGTCCCAACTAGATTGTCATATATATTCTTTTCTATGTGCACGACATCAAGGTTGTGTCGAAGCTTCAGTGTTTTCCAATAGGGTAAGTTGAACAAAATGCTTCGTTTTGTCAAGTTCGGAGTTGGATTTTCATTCCTTTGTCTTTTTCGGTTGTTTGGATGCTTTCTATACGGCCTATACGTCCCCAAATTAATTTTGTCAAGTATTTGTTCACCCGATAACTCCACAGGTTTGGACCGATTCTCAATTTCACCGTTGAAGAGCTTACTTCTTTGCCAATTATGGTTCTCAGGTAAGTACCACCGAGCACCCATATACCCTATCTTACATCGCAGACTATGAGATGATGCATCCATGATACGATTAGGGTAGGCCAAGTAACCTTTTGTACTCTAACCAGACATGTCACCATATACAGGGAAGTCATTGATGGTTCACATGACTGCTGCATGAATTGTAAATATTTGGCCGTTTGAGACATCATATGTTTGCACACCATGCTCCCACAAATTGGTTAACTCCTCTACTAATGGTTGCAAAGAAACATCGATGTCTCTTCCAGGTGCGGATCGTCCAGGAATAAGCATTGACATCATGAAAAATAGATCTTTCATACACTTCCATAGGGGTAGATTGTAAGGCATTAGGATTACGGGCCACATGCTGTACACTGTACTCATATTTCTGAATGGATTGAAACCATCTGTGGCAAGCCCTAGCCTTACCTTCCAAGGATCTGCAGAGAACATAGGATGCTGACCATCAAAGTCCTTCCATGCCTCACCATCAGCTGGATGTCGTAATACTTCATCATCCACACGCTTATCTTTGTGCCATCTCATATATGCGGCTGTTTTTTTCGACATGTACAATCTCTTCAACCTCGGTGTCAAAGAAAAGTACTTTAATATTTTGTGTGGAATTTTTTTACCGGTCTTGTCGTTCAACTTGTATCTAGACTCCGTATATGTAGGGCAATTCTCCAATGTTACGTTGTTCTTTCAAAATAAAATACAATCATTCTTGCATGCATGAATGGCCTCGTATCCCAAACCCAATTCATGTAAGAAATTTTTCGCTTCATAAAGGGTCCATGGACCAGTTTCATCACACTTTGGTAGAATGTCTTTGAAAACTTGCATAACCATGTCGAAAGATTTGTTGCTCCATTTATTGTACACCTTAACATGAAGCATCTTAATTACGAACGACAAGATGGAGAACTTTTTACACTCTAGATATACTTTGCGTTGAGCATCATCAAACAACTTCATGAACTTTAACAAATTGCCCCTCTTTGAACTGCTACGTTCTTCGTCGATATGGTCATCCATAAGACTACTCACGTAAATCTCTTCTAACATGTTAGGAAGTTCACCCAAATTTTCGTGATTGTAGACAGCCCAAACTCACTCCGTGCGGAGCCCCTTTCGGATAGGGCGTGAATTGGGTTCTAGCTACTACAGTTCGGACTCCTGTCACGGTTCCGAATCTAATCTCACAAAATGCAATGTAAGACTGATAAATCTCCAAAGAGTCCAAATCCGGCAAATCATTTTGGAAAATCGATTTGAATCAAAAAGCGCCAAACATGGATTGCTTTGCCAGATTTTAGAGTCGCCACCTAAATGTTTTATTTTGGGAAATTTAGGAAACCCTGACTTGTGCCTAAGGCCACGTGTCCGTCATCACCAAAGTTGTCTCAGCTCGGGAACTTGGGTATGAGAGGGGAAGGTCCTGAAATGAGCACCCCCACTCGCCCGATCAAAGGATCGGCCTCTACTAACATGATATGTTGTTTTTATAAACACATGTGTTCTTATTCCGATTTATTAGCTAACTTACTATGTGATGAGCACAGCATACAAGTATAGACTCAATCACGAAGATTGGAACAAAACAACTCATGTTTGTTTTTTAACATGGTTTGAAAGTGCTACTCGCAAGTAGGCTAAAGCGTGGATTTACCACCCTCAAGTGGGCTTTAAAACATGATTTTGCCACTTCACAAAGTGGACTTAAAACTCACAATCATCGAGTTGTTCCAATTCAAGCAATCAAGCCTTCACCCACAGGCATTCATGCAGTTAAACACATAAGCACATAGCCTCATGGCAAGCATGCTATCATGGCAGTCACTTACACACATGCAAGGATGCTAAAGCATAAACACTTACAGTGTACTCCGAGCTAAAGAAAGACGCTAGTTAGAAATCAATGCATGATCCTAGCTATATAAGCAATGCCTAATGCAACACATGCAAAAATGCAACTAAAATAGGCTCGGCTATCTAGAATGGCATATGAATGCAACACTTGATAAATGTATTCAAATAGGTATTGAAATACAATGCAGTTTGAATGATGGGCCGAGCCCGGTGCATGCAAGACAAATGAATGGATGCAAATATGCAAACATAAGGTATGCTAATTGAAAAAAAATGTCCTAAAACTAACCATCAAAAGCTGATAACTAAAAGAGAGAAAGAAGTGGGGTTGGAAGACATGCACACACACACGCACCCTTATTACAACATTGTGCCCTCCCGACGAAGGGTCCGAATAAATGAGCTAAGCTAGCTACACTAAGCTAACAACTAATCTAATACTCTAATTAGACTAATTATTACACAACCAAATTGAATAACAAGCAATCTACTTACTAATTATTACATCACTTAACTAATTAACAAATTAATTAATTAATTACAAGTCCAACTAAACATGCATGATATTTAAACTAGGCTGCCTCAGCTCTACCTTGGACAATGAAGGATGCATGCTCTCGGTTGCCGCCTCAAAACGCCTTCCGGTTGCTCTCTTGAGGCTCTGTTTGTAGGGTGTCCTTGGAACTTGCTGCTGGATCTTACCAAATCAAGGCTGGGGAGTGCACCAGTGGCCTGCCGGCCATGAAAGGTGGCTGCCGGCCACCTGCCGGCCAAAGATGGGCCACTGCCAGCCAAGGATGGAAGGGTGCCAGCCACCAATGTGGCACTGCCGGCCACTGGTGTGATGTGACACCATTCTGCAATAAAGCACAAAAACAGAGGAAATGAAGGGTCTCCCAAGGGTATGTACGTACTATACCACTCCATATCATCTCAAAAAATCAAGGGAGAGGCATAATTGAATCCAAGACCATCAATCAAGCATGCAATGCATGATGGCCAAAGATCCAATCTTGCATAAATGCAATAAATGCGATGCAAACAAGACTCTAAGACCACGGCCTTATCATGAGTGATCAAAAGCAATGGAGACAACGGGGATTGGCTCACTTTCATCACTTTGAGTATGAAGTGGGCCAATTCACCTTATGTTCAACATAACGTCCGGTTGAACACGATGCAATGCAAAATGCAACATGCTCATCTATCAATGCTAAGGTGGCATGCACAAGACTCTATCATGGAAGCAATGCATGCAAGACATGTTATGGAGCCAAGAGCATTAAAGCAAGTGAAGAACATTACAAATGAGGCATGCACCACTAATCTCAAATGGTCAAATCAGGTATGGGCAGACCTAAGATACTCCAAAACAGTGGCCAAAACACACTAAAGCTTAGGCACAAAAAGCAAGGAATGCATACTCAACTCATGGCTTGCAAGCAAGGCATAAAACTCAACTCTCAAACACATTGAAAGAGTGATAAACATGAGAGTATAACAATACTATATGCTCTGAAATTATGTATTAAATGATGCCATATCATTCAAACAACACAAGTATAGCATGCAAGAGGCCCTAAAACTCAAAACTAGTTAAGGCATTCACACAAGAGGCATGCAATACATAGCCTAAACCATCAAACCAGCTCTGGACAGAGCTCAAACATGTCAAAACAAAGGCCAAAACATGCTGAAAAGGGAGCCCAAAAGCTTAGACAAACATGCATACGTATTGGCTCACAAATGAGGCATAAGGCACACCTCTCAAAAGCATTGAAAGAGTGGAACATGTGAGAGTGTGACTATGCTATATACACTGAAATCATGTGAGAAATGAGGCTAAGGCATGCAATCATCACATTCAAAGCATGCTAGGGACCTCAAACACAAAGCTAGTGAAGCCCGACTACATTATAGCTATACAAAGCTAAGCATATATGACCTAGACCACTTAAAACAAACCTCAATCATGTTAAATAAGTGGCAAAAATGTGCTGGAGCAAAGCTAACACATGCTAGAATGATGAACTAAAGCATGAAGCATGTTAGGCCAACAAGCATGATTGCACTACAAGTACCAAAAGCAAGCAACCAATGACCAAACCAATCAAAAATAGAGTTATAGAAGGTCCAAAAAGTCACAAAATCATGCTTGAGCTAAGTCATAAAAGAGTAGAAAAGCATGCTCAAGTATGAGGCCAGCAAGGCAAGCAAGCAAGACAAGAGAAGAGGGGACCACCCCCTACCATTTTGGACCTCAAAACCACCTTTCCACCATTGAAATTCCTCTGAGTTTCAATGGTAGGAAGGCCATGCAAAGGCTATTACAAAAGCTTCAAAGGATAGCCTAAAAGCTTAACAAATAAGGCATACAAGGGGGTGAAACACCCCCAACACCCACAAGGCCTCAAACAACCATTTTTAACACTTAAAAATAAAGCTTTTTGTAGTTAACAACCAAGCCTAAAATAGCATGTAAAGGTGGCTAAGATGGCATACAAATATAACCTTAAAAGGGAAATATGCTCACCCTTGAAGAACAATAGCAAGGCAGGCCTTCCTCTGTGCCAAAACTAGCCTTTTGAGTCCCAAACAAACCCTCAAGAAACTTAGCTCCAAGGTGGTGGTCTTTGACTAGGTGTTCCTTTGCAAAAATGTGAAGAAAAACACACTTTAAGGCACTATTGAGCACAATATATATATATATATATATATATAGAGAGAGAGAGAGTAAGAATGCTAGAGAGAGAGATATTTTCAGCTCTAAAATTTCTAAACCCTTGGGAAGGGTGAGGCACCTCCCCTTATATAAGGAATGCAAGCAAAAGCTTGCTTGACAAGCTTCAAACTTGACTCCATCCCTCTATACACGTGTATGGAGGATGGCTCAGTGAGCCACAGCTGGCCCAAAATATCTAACATAATATCTGTTGAAACATGGTAACCTGCTGGCCATTAGTAGTGGTCGGCAGTGCCTCATTGATGGCCGGCAGGGCAGATACCATGGCCGGTGGCCCTTGATCATGGCCGGCAGTGCACTAAAACAAGCACTAGGGGGGGACCAAAGCATGGTCCAAAAATGGGGCAGAAATGAAACAGGGTTGGGAAAGCTCAAACCTATGACGTTTCGTTGCGAAGTTCGAGTGTTCAAGGAACAGCCAAACTTGTTGCTGGATGTACTTGCAAGCACAACCAAGTCTTGAGGACGGTCAAAAATAGGGTGTCTACAGTGATTGGCTGTCATTCCAGGTCCATTGCTTTTAGTATCATCGTTTCACATAGTAGGATGATCATGAGACATGGGAACATGTTCCCGATGGTGCAACCAAGTTCGATAAGAACACACGATTCCTCTTCGAATCAAGTGCAACCGTACAACTTATCAACTCAATTTTGTGCCGTTCAAGCAATCGACACACGGACAACGAATTTCATCCCATGGCCCTAAATTCTTCGTAGCAAACTCAATAAATGACTGCACACCTTCTTGGTACTCTTTACTTTTTAGCCTATGTTTTATCATCATGCAACTCTTGTCCATTATTTAAACCCTACACATCAAGCAAAGATGAACATGGGAATGGACATCCAATGGAAAATAGTCAACAAAATAGTATGAACTGATTGGGATGTTTTGCCTATTTGTCCATTGCATTTAGTATCTTTAATTTGACTAGTAACTTGGCATATATTCA